AAGATTTGGCTACATTGGGCCAAATGTGGCTACTTTTTTTGGTTTGACGTAAAAAATATCATTTGGCGCTTTGACTGCTTTTTCGGCTACATATTATTTATAATTATATTAATTGAATAAAAACGCATTTTAAAATGGCGTTTCGTCGCTTTTTATTAATTAGAGACCCAAATAAAACAAATATTTGTGTTTTTCAAATAAATTTTCGTTTGTTTCTTTTATAATAAATGAATTTATCTATTTCTAAGTAAAAATTGAAGGTGTCTGTAAAAGTAATTTTTTAAAATATCCTTTTTCTTGATAAAGTTTTAATACTTATTATTATAATCTAGACATGCTAATTTTTAAATATACTTGTATATTGGGCCACAAGTATATATTATATATTCTTGTGGCCCAAAACTCCTTGACTTCTTCCAATGCCGCTCAGAGAAACAAAAAGGTTGGACACCCCTGAAATAAAGCATTGTTATGCCAGAGTCTTTCACCTCTATTTTTATTCTTACCTATGCTGTTTTCTAATTGGTTTGTAGTCTGATGGCAGAAAGAAAAAAAAAGAGAGAGATTGTCTTTCATAGTTTCTGTTATGTTAGCGTTTTCACGTTTACATTAATTAAATACACGATGCAGCGTGTATCGTGTAAAGTTTTCCCTCCTTGGTTTTCTTTACTCTTTTCGCCCTGTGGGCATTAACAGGGCTTTTTTAACCCCTTCATTCCCGACCATTAATTAAATTAATATTAAATTAATATTAAAAACCATAAAAATATACTTAAAACTGAAAAAAAAACGAAAGAAATGCGTTAATTTTGAAGAAAACCCTTCAAATTTTATTTTCCTTTGTCTCGCCTTTCTGTGAAATTTAACATCGATGAGTTATTGTTTACACAGCTGGATGACCTTGAACACAGCTGGAGTTGGATTTTCCGGGACATTCTCATATACGCCGCGGGAGGTCAAGGGTTTAAAGTAGGGTGAATTCGACCGACGCCTATATTTTTAAATATTTTTAAAATATTAAGATTTTAATTGCGATTTCCGAACCCCCTAATTAATTAAATTTATATTAAAAAATATATTAATTAAAAAAATTAAAAAATTATCGGAGGTCGTTTTTGACATCAGAAACTAGCTTTAAAT